GTGGGAGTGGGGGGAGAGATTAGAAACACCAAGTAATTTGGGTCAAGCAGTTGACAATTGGTACCTAAATTTGCAGCAAGATTGTCTTAAAAGTTTATCATCATCAATGTTAAGTGCCAAATGTTGGAGCAACATTGACACCAAAATACAGTTTAACCATAACCCTGGAATATATTCATCATATACATATCCAGAAACCCTTCATCTCAATCTTCAGCCAAGTTCTCTACGTTTTCCACTTTAATTATGCAAAATTTGGATACCTTCATTCAATTTCCAGTTTCATATAAATATTCATTTGGGTGGTTAAACTCCCCGTACTTGAAAATTCTTCTGATTTCCAGCTCAACATAATCAAGCTAGAAAAATGAGAAACTAAATCATTCTGGACCTAAACATCCACAATCACAAATGGACCAATATCTTGAAATCTATCTGATCCACATTAATTTCAATCCACCGAAAATATTCGATTTTTTTTTCTTCACTTTCCTTATGGCAAGCAAGGTAGAGGGAGGGCATCTATGTGTGCCAATATCTCATCTAGACAGATTTTTCTTTTACTAGAAATACACAAAAGAACATATCATCCACATTTAACAATCTCTCTGATCTCTAGTTCAACCCCCCAACACATACACACACAATTTTAACAGCTAGAATCATAAATTGACCCTTGGTTCTTAATATGATGGTGAAAATTACAACTACAACAACCAAAGTGATGCATAATGATCATAAAAAAACTAAAAAAATATATAAAAAAAATACCCTCGTATCAAGGATAACTAACAGGCACCAATCACCAAAGTGATTCAAAAATTCAGGGTGCAATCATACACTCAAGGAATTTCCAGAAACCCATCAAGGGTGAATGGTCAAGGGAACCGAAGAAAGTGTAAAAAAGAAAAGAAAAAAAAATAGAAACAGCAACGGGAAGAAACTAACTTGAACAGAGAGACAAGAGAATAGAGCTTATAGTGTGTGATGAAGCAAAGTTTGAACCTTTACGATTGAAGGAGAGAGAGATCACAGAGAATCGTCGAAAGGAGAAATGGTAACGGTGACTCGAGTGATTCACAGTGCGAACCCCTCAGCTTGGCACTGGGGTCGAATTTACAAAAAAGCCAAAATATTTGGGCTAGAAAGGAAAATTTTGTAACTTTTTTTATTATCATAATTAAAAATTGATTAAATTATTTTTTGTTATTTTATTTTATTTTATTAACTATTATTTTGACGTGCATAATACATAATTTAAATACTTATTAAATAACTATAATTTAGAATAAAATATATATACGCCGCACACTTAATAAAAGTGAAATTTTGTCAGATTTAACATTAAAACAAGAAAAAAATAATAATTGTAAATATAATATGTTATTATGCAACATTTTTGAAGATTTAGCAATTTCTCCACACTTAGAACTTTGCTTTTACTTATGTAAAAGCAGAGATAAATTATCATTGATTAAGGTAAAATCTCTTTTTTTTTTTTTCAAAAATCAAGAATTTGTTGTTTTAAGTTTCAAATTTATACAATTGAATCCACAATAGAGTCTAGGGGCTTGTTAAAAATCATAACCACCTTAGAGGTTTTCTAGTGTAAAGGTTTGTTGTGTCAATCTATTAAGCAAGGATAAACTTGTGAAAAAAAAAATAACAGCATAAAAAAAAAGAAGTAACAACTCCAAGTAATATATACAACTTAAAACAACAAGTTAACTTTACAACTTAAAAGCATAACAACAACTCAAACAATATTCATAAGTTAACAACATAAATAATTGAGAAATCAATTGAACAATCGAACAACATGTAATCGACTACGAAACTAGACAACTTAAACAACTAAGCAACTAAACAATTGATGCATTGTTACACATAAAAACTTATGGAGATCTCCTACAACTAGATGAGCAACCCATAAGTGGCTTGACCCTATCAAATCACAACGATTGGTATAAAACCAGACATAATGGTTGACATGGTGAGCACAAACAATGACTAGTATAAAACTAGAAACAACGGTTGGCACGATGACCAAAATTGATTTATTAAGTTTCACCACTTACACTATAAAAGTCCAATACTACTATTAGTAATAGAACAACTTGTGTGTGAGCCTATAATGGCCTTAACATGCATACTTAAGTTTATATGAAATTAGTTCAAAGACTATCGTCTAAATATTGTGCACCTTTTCGATACATAGTTAGGGATTTTGACTACCGATCTTGTACCTTACTCATTGACCAGTTATTACAAGTATGGTTTAGCCTCCACCATATTGTTTCAACTGAAAAACCTAGAGGAGACAAGTTAAAACAACTTCCAAATTAGGAGGCAACTTACTCATTGAAAGATTTTCAACTTTTGAGCTCTTAAAACACCACAACAGATATTCACACAATGAGATATTTAAATTTCCAAAAACAACTTTTCTCTCCTTTAGTTTTTTTATGCAACTTAATTTCAACATAAAACATGCATCACATGTCTATCACACTTATCATCATACAACTTAATTCATACCACTTCAAACAACAAGTTGTTATCAACTTAATCAACTTAAATCATCATATATCATCGTAAATCAACATACTATGAATTAGGTTCAATCATCATCAACTTTCATGTGAACAACCAACACAATAAGAATATCACGTAGAAGCTACAAGTCTCAAAGGAAATTATCACTTAAAGCTCAACTAGAAGCACTCTGAGCCAATGAAGTTTGCTTAAAGCCACTAGGTGAATGCTCCAAGTGAGCTAAGTTAGAGACCATCTCTAAAATGGTTGCACCAACTCGCTTAAGCGAGCCACAAATGCGCTCTAAGAGAACAAACATAACAGATAAGCACACTTCAAGAACAGGATTCTCATTCACAAGAAACCAACTTTTACTCAAAATCCTTTCTTCCAACTCCAAGATTCATGCATACAATTCAAAATTCATCTACTATCATCATATAGTTTATAAATTGAAACAATTAGACCATGCAACAACAATACAATTCAAGGTTATGGATTCTTCTCTCTTCGCCAAGAAACTCCAAGAACTAAGAACACCAAGGTTCAATCTTAATTTCAAATTTGACTTCAAAGGTTTCCAAAGCATGAACCAACATAGGAAAATCAACATATACAACACAAAAAGTTAAACTATAAGCTTTTCTCACCTTAAATTTCTTAAAAACAAGGAAATGAAGGAAGAACAACAAAGAAGAACGAAACTTCTCAAAAGTCCGTTGTAGATTAGTTTTGATCTTTAATTATCAATTCCCTATTTTCAAATCTTTAATCAATCACCGTAATATTGCTACATAGGAAGGATTATGACACTTCTATATAGTTAGAAAAAGAAAAGAACTCTTTTGCCTCTAGAACTTATCTTTTTAAAATCTCTTTTTATATTTATTAAGAAATGAACTTATAAAATTCAAGTCTTTAAAAAATCTTGTATATAAACTTAATCAACTTTGATCTCAACTTAAAATAATCTAAAACAACTTAATTCTCGAGAGTCTCTTAAGTCTTAGAGTTTTGAAATAATAACAACTACAACATAATAACATTTAAAACAATATATAACTTATAATCTTATAAAAAGGCATTACATGATTAATTCCATTGATAAAATATATTTAATTTTATTTATCAATGTGGTTGACGACAACAATTTTTTTTAAACATCAATAGTTTTGGATATGGTCCATGCAAACTAAAAAAATTTAAAATATTGAAAAGTTGACAAAATAAACATTTTAATGATAATTTAGTGTTGAACTAACCGATGTTATTTAATGTCAGGTTAAGTGTGTGTTTATTTTATTGTTAAAATTTGACAGACGTATATTGAAAAAAAAGATAAAAATAATTACTTTGTATTTTGGTACTTTGAAAAATGTGATTTTACGTTTTTGTTAAAAAAACGATTTTCCAAACATGTTGTAAGTCAGTTAAATAATTAGTGTTAATTTAAGCTTTTCTTATAATGTCTGTTTTACATGTCAGTTTTTAAATTATAAGCACCTCCTTTTAAAAATGATATTAGTAATTTCAATAATATTCTTTTTAGATGTTATATATAAATGTAAGTGTAACTTCTAAAATAAGAATGGATCATATAAGCCACGGATAATTTAATTACCTATAAATATTTATCCTTGTCAATAATTTTATAAAGTTATGAACTGTTTTTTTTAATACAAAAGTGACATTGAGATTCCAACATAAAATTTTATGTATATTATCTTTAATTTTATCGATTGTCTCCGATATTATTAACTAACAACGAGGAATGTAATATTATCAACTTATTTTTTCTTGAAAATAAATTGTTCCGCTTTATCTTATTCTCTTATATTATCTCATCATGTTTGATATCGAAAATATTCTTTAATTATATATTCTTAAATTAAATATGGTACGTCTTTGTAATAATTATCTTTATCTTTTTTACATTATAATTCTTTGTGTCACAGCATATATGCCCAAATGAATACAATTACAGATTTTTTTTTCTTTCTTTTTAATTTCTCTTGATATTATCCCCATGTTTTAATATCTCTCTCTCTTTCTTTTTTTTCCTCAATAGCAACCCCCTCTTATGCACATGTTTTATATGTTAGAAAGATATGTTACTTTGTTTATTCTTGCTTGTCCTATCTGTTGTATATGATGAAACATGTGGTATATCTTTTGCTCCGTATGCTTAGAATAGGAATTTTGTAAATATCTATTGCATACTCGAGCCGACGAATTCATTTCAGAAAATTAATAAAACAAAAATGGCATACCCGTAGACAATATTCTATAAGTCATTTAGTCGATAAGGACTCTTACTAAAATTTTAAAATGGCATACTCGTAGGCAATATTCTATAAGTAAGATAAGTCATTTAGTCGACAAGGCATCTTATTCAAAATTTATTACTTTGATTGTGATTCGACCAATTAAAAAGCAATGAAACCAGTGGTGAATTTAAGATCCCAGCTTAGTGGAAGCATTTTTTTAAAATAAAATTAATAATTATTATCGTCGTCGTCATCATATATATATATATATATAATTAATGAATAAAATATAAATATTAAAAACAATTATTAGTAAATTTAATGTATAAAATTAAGAGGTGTAAAATATAATATATTTTTAAATATATACTAATAATTTAATTAAAGTAAGAAAATGTATATGTTCACTCTTACTGTAATACAAGTTTGTCACTAAATACAATGATAATTTATTAAAATAAAAATTTGATAAACATGAATTTTTAGTTTATATGAGCTAGATCCATTGGTGCAAATCTAAAAACTTATATTAAATCATACACTTTCAATAACTTTTTGTATAATGTAAATTTAATCTTAAATTATTGAATTATGTAATATTATATTTAAAATCATGTATATCAAATTTTACATGATTTAAAAAGTTATAAATATTACCTAAAAATAAATATTTACACATATTTTAAATATCATAATATACTTTAAAATAAAACATTGAACATTATAATGAAATATTTAATAATTCTGGTATAATGTGAAATTTGATATACATGATATAGAAATTCACTTTTCCACATATTCATTGCATGCATCAAAAGCTTGTCATGACACATAGCCTCGGTACTTAAAACTCACATGAACAACAAATACAAAAAAGAAAAAACAAAAGGTGGAGCACATAACACAACATCTACCCAATACTCACAATAATGAAACAAAATATAATATGAAGCTTAACTACACGCACTGAATCGTGACATAAACGGAACAAAGATAAATGCAAAACAAATGTGCACAATTTTGACGCAAAAAGGGTGAGAGAAAAAAGAACTTAGTTGAATATAAGAAAACTTTCATTGGTGTGATTAAGTGCTGGTTCCATGCATCCGTTGACGTGAAGTTCACCAAGATTCGTGTTTCCCAGTGGTGACTTCACATTGGTGATCACGGTGTGTGATTTGAGATGATGAGGGAAAATTAATTAATGCGAGGGTTCTTTTTTAGAGAAGGAGGATGAAAAAGAAAGGTAACCCAAGTGTTGTATGTTGAGAGGGTTTATTTATATGGGTTGAGTTGGTTGTGGAAGAGGTGATATGTGTAAAGCTAGCTAGAGGCTTATGTGAGATGGTTACGGAAGATTTGAGTGGTTTGAGAAGCTTCTCATGGGCAGAGGCTTGAGCTGGTTTTCAGGAGTCTCTCTTATGGGGATAGGGTGGTGGTGGTGGTGATAGTGGCTGAGGTTGATTTTTATGGGGTTCATAAGTTATGAATGACATGTTTTTCTTCTTGTGATGTTTCTTAATTATCCAAAAAGAAAGTGGTGAGTTAATTGCTTGGCAGTGATGAGCTAAGAGAATGACTACTTCGTGGTTACTCATACGCATATTGTTAACAATGAATAGTAAGTAAAGAACATAACTGAGCTTATAATATAATCTAAGATCTTAAATTATGTATTCATTAGATAAATGAATTTTTTTATTTATATATTATTTAACATGTTAACTTATTTCACACTTGAATTAAGAAACATGACTTTAGAGAGGTGAAAAGTTTGGCATATATATATGCATATGGTTTTGTGCCAAGAAAGTGTATAAGTTTGTCTTTCAAGTAAATAATAAATTACCCACTTAGCCATTCTGCCCCCACTCTGGCGAATGCTCCATCACCGCCCTCCCCCTCGCCGTC